TGTAACACCTTTTTCTGAAAACTGTACATGGCACTTAAAAGCTACAATTTAAGTTAAGGCCTTCTGTGGTCTATTCTGCTGCTATAATTCAGAAAACTGATACAATATTGTATGTTCTTTTTAATTTTACTCTTTTTGACCTGGAAATATTCCTTTACAGTTTTAAAAAAATTAGCGATTTCATGACATCTTTTTGAAAACCCTTTAAGAAGTTGTCTATAATTAACGACTTTTTAAAGGAGACAGACATTTGCATTAACGTTTGAATGTGATTTGAATTAACAAGCTGAATATAAAGAAATACACTGACGTATTTCTGATTGGTGATGATTTTTAATCACAGTTGTTGAAATACCGTGTATAATACGGTCCAGTTTCTGCCTTGTTTGAACGTTCGAAACTCTGATTTAAAACCAAAATAACTTTGTTTCACCCAAAGGCAGAATATTTTTTATCTAACTAGTGCCGTTAGAAGGAATCATCTGCTTTGTTAACAAGGAAGTCATTCAATTTAATGTCAGAGGTAAGTTCTGTTATTTCACGCATGAGACAAATCGATCAACCCCACAAAATCCACCGATCACAAAGATGATCATACCTCACAAAACGTCTCCCAGAAAGAACAGTGATCGGCTCAAAGATAATATGCACTGTATAAATCAAGATTTAATGAGTCTTACGTAAACTATTCACTGTAATGATAGTATGGTAACTTGCGATATTTGTTGCACTTGTCTCATGCCGTCATTAATGGCCTGTGGTACACGCTGAAACATAAAAAGCAACGAAAATTTTTCAAAAAGTCTCCTGGTTCTTATAGATACTTTAAGTGGCCGAACGCAAGACAATGCTATTAGGCCATCCTCTTTTTTTACCCCGTTTAGCGTCGTCCGACCGACCCAAATTTTTGGCGTTTTCAAAAAAAAAGGAACGACTTAGTTAAACCATTTTTCAGTGGAAGTAATTCTTTTTATCTGGTGAGTGAGCATAGTAACAGTATAGGGAAAAACAGGAACAAAAACAGGAACATTGAATTTAATTAGTAAAAAATATCGTAAATACAGTGTCCAGCACTGAGTATTTATCAAGCTTTGAAGTGTGCATGTTACTTGAATTCATTCCCCATCCCATTTCCTTATAGTTTCGGTTATTTACTTCGAACTCCCGCTAACTCGAACTATTTTCGATTTCCCTTAAAGGTTCGAGTTATCGGGAGTCGACTGTGTTCATATTATATACACATTTTAAAAACAACTTGATAAGCACGTTCCGATTTTTACATTTAACAGCTTAAAACAGGACGCAATAATTTAAAATGCAAAGAAATCGAACACATTAATATATTACCACGATTTTTCTGCCTCTGTTGCTTTTGTAGATGTCTAAAATCCTGCTCACTCTGCTAATAACATTGTCGACAGCTCTCGTTTTTAGAACACGTGGTGAGTACGATTCATCAATCTTATGAAGGTCTCAGTGGGGTTGACCGCTAGCCGTAAAACAGCCTAAAATTTTAGTCGTTGGCTCCACAAAAAAAATTGAGACAAAGGCGCAAACTCGTCCATAGGACTTTTTTTTCTTTTTTTCTTTTTTTTCTGACCATAACCTGTACAGTATTGACGCCATTTTACCGGATATCGTAAACGTCTTCTATGTTTGGTCAACGCTTGCTGGTTATGAAGAATTAGCCGGGGGATTTCAGCCGAAAAGAAATAGAGAAATATTTTGAATGAATAATAATAACCTCTGACGCCTCCACCCTATTGAGACCGTTGTATATGTTTACGAAAATATCATTTTGTCTTGTACTGTTACTCAAAATATTGCAGAGAACGTTCTTAGCCATGTTTTAAGTTACCAGTGAATAGGAACATTTGAAATCGGGCGGTAACTGCCTTAACTCTCAAATCGACATCAGGAGATTTTAAAAAAACTGCTGATGATATAAAAAGGAATGTGTAATGTCAAATTCTCTTTTTACCAAACTGCTGTATCTAGATATTCTTTTTTTCTTTTTTCCTGTTTGATTTAATATTGATCAAAATATTTCAAAATTTTTAGCTGAGGCTGAGTATGACACAAAAAGGTTTATAGATCGAGAAGGGTGTTATCCGCTTGAACGACCGACCAGGCTGAGACCAACTACACTCTTCTGGATCTGCATAATTTCCCATTTCCTATTAGAGCCGAAATCACTAAGTGAATTTTTTTAATATTCATTTACTGTATGTCCAAGCTCTTCGTTATTCTATATTTTTGTCATAAACTGTAATCATATGAATAATTTTAAGATTAACAAGTTCATCGCGTTTGAGCGATTAACCGCCATTTCCTTAATAGCGGCTGTACTGAATGATGAACAGAGACTGTTACGTAACCTGTTTCAAAACTACAGCAAATCTTCTCGACCCGTCCTCAAAAGAAATTCCCAAGTGGTCGTCATATTTAGAGCAAAACTCAAACAGATAATAGATTTGGTAAGTAGGAATGAATAGTAAGTGTTAATGAAATTAATAAGAGACTGAATGGAATAGCAAACATATGAAAAACTTAAATGAGGGTAAGCGCTTCGCGAACAAGCCCCAATGATGGTGCCTACAGTATTATTTTATTTTATTTTATTTTTATGCGAATGAAAATGACTTTTAGGAACTGGAATAACGAAATGAAATTCCGCGACAAAGTTCGTGTAATTACCTGCTGGATTTTCGGACNCTTAATAGCGGCTGTACTGAATGATGAACAGAGACTGTTACGTAACCTGTTTCAAAACTACAGCAAATCTTCTCGACCCGTCCTCAAAAGAAATTCCCAAGTGGTCGTCATATTTAGAGCAAAACTCAAACAGATAATAGATTTGGTAAGTAGGAATGAATAGTAAGTGTTAATGAAATTAATAAGAGACTGAATGGAATAGCAAACATATGAAAAACTTAAATGAGGGTAAGCGCTTCGCGAACAAGCCCCAATGATGGTGCCTACAGTATTATTTTATTTTATTTTATTTTTATGCGAATGAAAATGACTTTTAGGAACTGGAATAACGAAATGAAATTCCGCGACAAAGTTCGTGTAATTACCTGCTGGATTTTCGGACATAAGTAACACCTCCCTTATACCATTAGTAGTATCCCCATACTTGTTATAATTTAGAGCATTATTCGCCAACACAAGTTGTATTAGCGACCAATAAGTTAAGTGAATTTTAGTTTGTTGATCCGATAGAATAAAGTGACCACTGTATGTTAAAGAAAAACAATAAAGACGATGCAGGTTCACTGTATATGTCCGGTATCATTTATGACGTGGCACAGTAAGAATATAGAGTTATAAATACATTCCGTTTAAAAACAAACCTCTCCAGGAAATGCATTTCGATTCCTACTCACTAACAAGCAAACTTTAAGTCTGTTAGAAATACACTTGGCTGTGCAATTATCTCATACTCTCAGTATGGTATCATCGTACAAAAGTAGGTGGAGTTGCTGCAAATACATCTGTAGCAGTAGTTTTAAAGGTTTTAACGTGAGAATATTTTAGCCAGTGATGAGATACTTTAAACGCTACCACTAATTCTACAATTGTTTGAGTCAAGAAAACTCATTTCAAGAAGTCAATTCTGCCGTTAAGGCCCTCGCACTAGGATACCTACACTCTGTAAGATTGACTGGACTCCGTCTTTTACTCTTATTCCGTTTAGAAGGACAATGAACAACTCTTACAAGTAATCCTCTACACTTATCAGGTAATTATGGAAATTATCAACATCTTAACCAGATAACACCTTTCAGTCAACTCTGTGGACAGTCTAAACGGGAATATGTAAGCGAGCTGTGTTGTTGTTGTTGTTGTTGTTGTTGTTCAAAGTCGGCTTAAACAAGGTCTCCGTCAGGGAATATAGGGACTTTAGGCAAATCGCTACGGCTACCTCTACCACGGCGGTCGTGGGAGCGGAGTCCTGGGGAGAGTACGTCACCGTAGCCCGACAAATTTCAGCTTTAAGCCAGCGGCGCCTAAACAATGACTACGGGATTTCTCTTTCATTTGCTTTCGCTATTAATTAGTAAAACGCAGAGAAGACGTAATAATTGGAAAACCAGAAGCGACAAATACTTTTTTGATAAAGATTTTAAAACCAGTGATTGTAAAAACTAGGGGAAAAAGGTGAGTTTTAGACTCGCGTAGTAGCGACTACACCACAAGACAGGTCATTGTAGGATTTGGCGCGGCGGCGAAAGGTCATTTCGAAGCATGCGCAGTGCTTCATTTTTGGGCTCTTTTATTTCTGGCCGCAGTAGTAGAGGTCGCCGTAGAGATTTTCCGATTTCCGAAGTCCCTAACATCGCTATTAAGGAATTTACGTTTTTGAAACTTTGTCACGTTCATTCCATCTCGCTTAAAATGTCAGATTATCATGGTACGCAACATTTTTCAGGAATGGATCAACCCCCTTTTGACCTGGAATGCATCTGATTTCGGTGATATCGACGAGATCAATGTAGACGCTTCCAAAGTGTGGGTTCCAGATATCTTGCTTTATAACAGGTATTGTTTTGAAATTTACCATATCCAGTCCAAGAGGGATAAAAAATCGTTCCTGTTACTGAACACGTTGTATCTGATTAACATACTGCTTAACTGGGGGCCGGGGAAAGCACCTTGCAGTTTAAGGATGTGTCAACGGCCCGTCTTTATAAAGCATTCCCTCTAAGGTATATTAAAAAGTACTTCTAGACGATATAAAAAGAACTTCTTAATGTTTGGTTGCCTTAAGGTCAATTTAGGTACTTGAACTCACTTTAGTTATTAAGACTGATTTTTAAGTCTGGTAATTGTTTTTCAATTTCTTTGCAACTTAAGTGCGGAATTTACATTTCCTGGAGGGACACACAAGTACAAGACAGACGTTGTCATCTATTCAAATGGACGAACGATATGGTTAGCTCCAGCAATGTTTGTGACAGTCTGCCGATTGGACGTCAGGTAAACACTGGCGTTAGCAACGTCATCATTAGGTTAAGCTTGACAAGAGCTTTAAATGAGAATATGATCCATTTAACTTACAAAAACACGTCTTTTGGATGGTCCTCGTTTTAGAATTAAGCTGAGTGACCAGATCGCTGTCAAATCAATGGTCTGATGGACTGTTCCAACACTTGGTAAATTTCTAGCATCCTAGAAGGAAAAATACAAATCAGTCATTGCTTAGGTATAATTATTAAGAAATGAATGGGTGTAACTGGTAAGCCCATTTCCCTCTAGAATCTTGCAATTACGGCATTAATTTTTCATGTCATTTCCACCATCAGGTATATAACAAACCCACAATAGCTTGCTCTTAAGTTGGCTTGATAAGCGCAATGAATAAAGCGTTGCATCCAATCATCAACAGGGTTCGATTCCCGGTCAAGCCTGATTTTTTTCAGGTTCCTTTTCAACCGCTTGGATTGTTCATTCTACTGCAAAGATCACGTTCAATTTCATAATTACGACATTACTGATTTTTTCCCCTTGTTATGTTTATAAAGTAAGGACCATGCTGTTTATAACGTTAACATAAAATTATGCTTATATCCTCGTAAGATATTTCCCGTTTGACGAACAAAAGTGTCCCATGAAATTTGGCAGCTGGATTCATGATGAAAGCCGCTTGGACATGCGCATTCTTACGAATGCCTCAAGTGATGACATCTACACAGAACATGGTGAATGGCAACTACTAAATATAGAACAGAAAAGGTGACTGTAGCTTACAGTTTATAATGTCTTATAGTTGTCTGCTTGTTTATAGTATATGATTGCATGGCAATAAATTATTTCCACTTTATTGTCCAATAATTTCTAGCGAATTTCACAGTGTTAAAAATATTACAACGACAAACGTGTTCACTACAATAACAAATTTACTTTATATGAATACACTTCACAATATTGGAAATTCCACAACTAAGCAAAACGAGGTGGGTTACGGTTGACGGCTACTGAGTTGATTTTAATTGACACAAATGAAACAACAAAAACAAACTGTAAAAAAAGGAAAGAAAGACAAAACAAAAAGGCATTACATGCAAAACTTTAATGATTTTAGGCATGCTAATATTTGTCATTTCAGGAGTTCAAAGTTGTACGACTGCTGCCCTAAACCGTACGTTGACATTACCTACACCATTCACGTTCGGCGAAAGTCATTGTTTTACACACTGTATCTGATTATCCCTGCTTTGATCATCACCACTATGGTCCTGATAGGCTTCTATCTTCCACCGGAATCCGGAGAGAGAATGCAGCTTGGAATCACTGTGCTGTTAGCTATGATTGTTTTCTTACAGTTTGTCTATCAGAACCTCCCTTCTACATCCGATGGCGCTCCTCTTTTGGGCAAGTTCTATATTATCACCATGGTTCTAATCTCCCTCTCATTGGCAGCAACCTGCCTTGTGCTTAATTACTCTTACGGTCACCATGGTGATGGTGAGATGCCAATGTGGGTTCGTTTAATTATTCTTGACTGGCTCGGAAGGTTCTTTGGATCAAGGAATTCATTTGGCAAACGCCGGAGAATCATGACAAGTGACGATATCTTAAAGAGAAACGAATGGAAAACCGCTGCCCGTATTTTGGATAAATTCTTCATTGTTTTCTTTGCACTGTTAATCACTATTGTTTCACTCTCGATGTTCTTTCAAGCTCCCCACTGACTCGATTACGACGATCGTGCCAAATACAAAAATTTTTCTTTTTGAAAATTAGAAACAGGTATAACAAACTTTCAACTTGGATTGAACCCATGAAACTCGTGAAAAATTGTTTCCTCCATGAAAATACTGGAGGCCAATCACCTTACTTAACACCGACTACAAGATTGCAGCGAAAGCTGTAGCAAGGAGAATCGAACAAATGCTACCAAAAATAATCAACTCTGATCAAAAAGGGTTAATTAAAGGTCGTTATATTGGCGAGAACATGAGGCTGATTAGTGATATAATGGAATATACAAAAGCTCAAAACCTATCAGGGATATTATTGTCATTAGACTTTAAAAAAGCGTTTGATACTCTTGAATGGCCGTATATTAATAAGATGTTAGATACTTTGAATTTTGGACAGAGTTAAAAGATGGATTAGCGTTTTTTATGCAAATATTGAAACAGCAGTTTTAAATAATGGATTTGCAACCAAATGGTTTAAGCCCTCGAGAGGAGTAAGACAGGGGTGTCCACTCTCCCCATACCTCTTCGTTCTCAGCGCCGCAAATTTTAGCTGCTAAAATTCGTCAAAACAATCTTATGAAAGGAATCTATTTATTTGGAAATGAAGCTGAATAAGCCAATTTGAGGATGATACTAATTTACTTCGTGCTGATATTAGCTCTATGGAAAATTCATTTGTTATCATAAATAATTTTGGAGACATTTCAGGCTTGCAGCTTAATGTCAAAAAAACCACAGACAGCAGTATAGTTAGGAAAGTGGTCCAAGAATCGCTCCACACCGTTGCAGTTAAACCTGGAGGTCTCAACTTTTTGTTAAGATGCAAGTACAACCCAAGGTATCTACACCCAAAACTACCTATTTTTATAGAGATATACTGTCGTTCTTCGTCCAAATAAAACGTCAACTTAAACAAAAGAATGAACAGAACATGGAAATGGCAATCCTTTCTTTATAAGGGAATGGTTTGCAAAAGGAATTATTTCCATAAAGGATCTCCTACAGGAGAATGGACAATTTCTTACTTATGAGGAGTTTCAAAACTAACTACAGTCCACTGAGAACTTTATTGACGCCATTAAGACAATACATATACCGGACGACCAAACTAGTGTCCTTTGACGTGAAATCACTGTTCACCAGTATTCCACTTTAACTGGCTCTAATCTGTACTGAAAACGCTTTTAAGAACTCTACTGTTGAACTACTACTACCTACAGACGACATTATGAACCTACTCAACCTCTGTTTAACTTCGACGTACTTTCAGTACAACGGCAGACATTACAAACAGTTACACGGTACAGCTATGGGCTCTCCAGATTCTGTTTTTGTAGCAGAAATTGTCATGCAAAACATCGAGGAACAAGCCCCAGCTATACCTCTCTGGTTATGTTACGTTGACGACACATTCACTGCCGTACACAAAGACGGAATCGACGCCTTAACACCTTAACAGACAGAACGCGGACATACAGTTCACCAAAGAGATGGAAGAAAATGGTAAGATACCTTTTCTAGACTGCTTGGTCACTCGCGACAACAACAAACTACAGTAATGATAACTCAACATGTTATACCCTAACAAGAATGTAAAATAAAAAAACAGAACAAAACTTTAATCCTGGATCGGCCTTTCAGGAACCGGGCCCTGGTGGATATATTATTTTCTCATTTCGTTGGATGAGTTTGGACTCGGTCCTCCTTATCATGTGGATATTTTAAGGTTTTATATGATGAAAGCCGCTTGGACATGCGCATTCTTACGAATGCCTCAAGTGATGACATCTACACAGAACATGGTGAATGGCAACTACTAAATATAGAACAGAAAAGGTGACTGTAGCTTACAGTTTATAATGTCTTATAGTTGTCTGCTTGTTTATAGTATATGATTGCATGGCAATAAATTATTTCCACTTTATTGTCCAATAATTTCTAGCGAATTTCACAGTGTTAAAAATATTACAACGACAAACGTGTTCACTACAATAACAAATTTACTTTATATGAATACACTTCACAATATTGGAAATTCCACAACTAAGCAAAACGAGGTGGGTTACGGTTGACGGCTACTGAGTTGATTTTAATTGACACAAATGAAACAACAAAAACAAACTGTAAAAAAAGGAAAGAAAGACAAAACAAAAAGGCATTACATGCAAAACTTTAATGATTTTAGGCATGCTAATATTTGTCATTTCAGGAGTTCAAAGTTGTACGACTGCTGCCCTAAACCGTACGTTGACATTACCTACACCATTCACGTTCGGCGAAAGTCATTGTTTTACACACTGTATCTGATTATCCCTGCTTTGATCATCACCACTATGGTCCTGATAGGCTTCTATCTTCCACCGGAATCCGGAGAGAGAATGCAGCTTGGAATCACTGTGCTGTTAGCTATGATTGTTTTCTTACAGTTTGTCTATCAGAACCTCCCTTCTACATCCGATGGCGCTCCTCTTTTGGGCAAGTTCTATATTATCACCATGGTTCTAATCTCCCTCTCATTGGCAGCAACCTGCCTAGTGCTTAATTACTCTTACGGTCACCATGGTGATGGTGAGATGCCAATGTGGGTTCGTTTAATTATTCTTGACTGGCTCGGAAGGTTCTTTGGATCAAGGAATTCATTTGGCAAACGCCGGAGAATCATGACAAGTGACGATATCTTAAAGAGAAACGAATGGAAAACCGCTGCCCGTATTTTGGATAAATTCTTCATTGTTTTCTTTGCACTGTTAATCACTATTGTTTCACTCTCGATGTTCTTTCAAGCTCCCCACTGACTCGATTACGACGATGGTGCCAAATACAAAAATTTTTCTTTTTGAAAATACGAAACAGGTATAACAAACTTTCAACTTAGATTGAACCCATGAAACTCTTGAAAAATTGTTTCCTCCATGAAAATACTGGAGGCCAATCACCTTACTTAACACCGACTACAAGATTGCAGGGAAAGCTGTTGCAAGGAGAATCGAACAAATGCTACCAAAAATAATCTACTCTGATAAAAAAGGATTTATTAAAGGTCGCTATATTGGCGAGAACATAAGGCTGATTAGTGATATAACAGAATATACAAAAGCTCAAAACCTATCAGGGATATTATTGTCATTAGATTTTAAAAAAGCGTTTGATACTCTTGAATGGCCGTATATCAATAGAATGTTAGATACTTTGAATTTTGGAGAGAGTTAAAAGATGGATTAGCGTTTTTTATGCAAATATTGAAACAGCAATTTTTAAATGATGGATTTGCAACCAAATGGTTTACGCCCTCGAAAGGAGTAAGACAGGGGTGTCCACTCTCCCCATACCTCTTTGTTCTCAGCGCCGCAAATTTTAGCTGCTAAAATTCGTCAAAACAATCTTATGAAAGGAATCTATTTTTTTGGAAATGAAGCTGAATAAGCCAATTTGCGGATGATACTAATTTACTCTGTGCTGATATTAGCTCTGTGGAAAATGCATTTGTTACCATAAATAATTTTGGAGACATTTCAGGCTTGCAGCTTAATGTCAAAAAAAAACACAGACAGCAGTATAGTTAGGAAAGTGGTCCAAGAATCGCTCCACACCGTTGCAGTTAAACCGGGAGGTCTCAACTTTTTGTTAAGATGCAACTACGACCCAAGGTATCTACACCCAAAACTACCTATTTTTATACAGATATACTGTCGTTCTTCGTCCAAATAAAAACGTCAACTTAAACAAAAGAATGAACAAAACATGGAAATGGAAATCCTTTCTTTATAAGGGAATGGTTTGCAAAAGGAAATATTTCAATAAAGGATCTCCTACAGGAGAATGGACAATTTCTTACTTATGAGGAGTTTCAAAACTAACTACAGTCCACTAAGAACTTTATTGACGCCATTAAGACAATACATATACCGGACGACCACAAACTAGTGTCCTTTGACGTGAAACCACTGTTCACCTGTATTCCACTTTAAATGGTTCTAAACTGTACTGAGAACGCTATTAAGAACTCTACTGTTGAACTACCACTACCTACAGACGACATTATGGACCTACTCAACCTCTGTTTGACTTCGACGTACTTTCAGTACAACGGCAGACATTACAAACAGTTACACGGTACAGCTATGGGCTCTCCAGATTCTGTTGTTGTAGCAGAAATTGTCATGCAAACATCGAGGAACAAGCCCCAGCTATACCTCTCTGGTAACGTTACGTTGACGACACATTCACTGCCGTACACAAAGAAAGAATCGACGCCTTAACACCTTAACAGACAGAACGCGGACATACAGGTTACCAAGGAGATCGAAGAAAATGGTAAGATACCTTTTCTAGACTGCTTAGTCACCCGCGACAACAACAAACTACAGTAATGATAACACAACATGTTATACCCTAACAGGAATGTAAAATACAATCAAACAGAACAAAACTTTAATCCTGGATCGGCCTTTCAGGAACCGGGCCCTGGTGGATATATTATTTTCTCATTTCGTTGGATGAGTTTGGACTCGGTCCTCCTTATCATGTGGATATTTTAAGGTTTTATANTTCTGTTTTTGTAGCAGAAATTGTCATGCAAAACATCGAGGAACAAGCCCCAGCTATACCTCTCTGGTTATGTTACGTTGACGACACATTCACTGCCGTACACAAAGACGGAATCGACGCCTTAACACCTTAACAGACAGAACGCGGACATACAGTTCACCAAAGAGATGGAAGAAAATGGTAAGATACCTTTTCTAGACTGCTTGGTCACTCGCGACAACAACAAACTACAGTAATGATAACTCAACATGTTATACCCTAACAAGAATGTAAAATAAAAAAACAGAACAAAACTTTAATCCTGGATCGGCCTTTCAGGAACCGGGCCCTGGTGGATATATTATTTTCTCATTTCGTTGGATGAGTTTGGACTCGGTCCTCCTTATCATGTGGATATTTTAAGGTTTTATAAATTACTCCTTGCCTAGTCTGGTGAGTAAAATTACGATTATATATCATGAAGTTCATTCGTATCAATCTTGCGAAATGCCTCTCAGATTGTTCAATGAAATAAGGAGAATAAATCATCTCCTCGTGTCCCACAATGAAACAATTCCGGAGGGGAGGGGGGACGGTACTCTCTCATATAACACATATAGGTATGTGCCACCCCGTTGGTCTGAGTGTTGGAATCGGTGTTACTGTGAGTATTCCGTCTAACGAAGTCCGTGTTGTTATTGTTCTTACTAAAAACGTTGTTAAGATAATCAGTCTCGTCTTGTAGGCTGTCAGGTGAGTCGCAAACTAGTTGCGCTCGTCTCGTCAAAGTCCGGATAGTTGTAGCCTTGTGAGAGGTCGGGTTGTGCGAAGACTGGTCTAGTTATCGGTCGGTATGTGTCGGTTTTCTGCAAATAGTTGTTTGCATCTCTCCACGTGCAACGTTCCAGCTTCTCTTTATCATGTAATAAGTTGCAATTTATCGCGCGATAATTTTTAAATTTTCTCATTTATCGAGCGATAAGTTTGAATTATCGCGCGATAACTTATAAATAAGCCCAAAAAAATTGCCACGTCCCTTACGGGCCACCGTACAAAGCTCCCAGGTGATCCTGGTCGTTTATACGGAAGTATATCGGCCGGAAGTCCCACAGTTCAACTCCTTGGCCCACTCTTTTCTTTTCCAAAAATATTGCAAAAGTCGGAAAGGGCTAAAATCGATGACCGGTCATCAAAATTTCTACGTCAACATCATCATCATCATCATCAAAGTTACAGTTGCTTGAGATCCCTTACAAAGGTAAAATAAGATAAGTGCGGGCAAACAGTGTGTAAGTGATGCAATTTCCATGCAATATCGATCATGATAACTTCAGATTTTAATTAACCATTCAAATCAATATATTAGATCATTAAATATTCTTCTACAGTTTACTTTAGTAGAATTTTGTTGAGTGCTTAACAGTGGGAAACAGTTCAGTCGCTGAAACAGCTACTCTTTCGATCCGTCATTTTCCGTGTTCAGAAATCATGGACAAGCCTCTACCAATGGACAGCTTCTGGAAAGTCATTGGGAGATTTCTGTTTTCTAAGAGGAAAAAAAAAAAACAGAATTGAACAAGAGAGATCATGTCAAGATTTGTCTTTCTTCACGTGTTTTATTGTTCATAGAACTAAACAAAAGATTGTAAAATGGATGGCAACAGATTCGAGGATCTAACCAAGAACTGCTATCGGGATCGAATCTCGTGGCGGCCACTCAATGGAATCACTGAGGACTCATTTATTCAGGGTTAGCCTCGACCTAAGGTAACTATATTCACACATTCCAATCAGAATAAGACCTGTTTACAACTGTGTTTATTGTTTTTAACTTCAATTCAGGCACCTGCTAGCCGGTATTTGTAAACATTTTACGTTAGGTCGAGGCTGTCTTGTGTAAATGAGTCTTCAGTGCTTCTATTCAGCGGCCGCGGCNCTTTTTCCTACTAGTTTGGTTTTTTAGTGATAAAAAAATTAAATTAAATAATGTTTTTCTTTTGTAGTATTCTTTTTTTTTTACATTTTGACGAACAGCGAAAGAACAACAAACAACTCCCCCTGTTTGTGGGGGGGGGGGGGGGGGGGGGAACACTTCAAGATGACATTAAAATTTTCCCGGATTTCGGTTTCCACAAACAATAATTTCTCGGATTCCGGCATCCTGATTCTTACATCGGGCGAAAGCACAGTTATTCATTAACAACTAGTTGAATTTCCGCAGTTAACAAATGGAAAAGGCAGAACTACTTAGATGTACCGTGTTATTCTAAATCATATTTTTAATAATCAGAGACAAGAAAATGAAAACTCACGGCTTTTTCTTCAGTTTCACTTCAACGCTGAAGCCATTCTTGAGATTCAGGAAGGTGATTTTTTGGCCTGCATCATCCACCCATACATTAGGCTTGTAACTATCCGGGTCATCATGGACCATGAGGGAAACGATACTTCGCTGTACTGGTGTCTTCAGTGTGACCGTTATTTTACGCTCTCTGCTCGATGATTGATACAATTCTTCTTCCCTCGCGTCACCTGAGTTATTTAAACGTCGCTTTACTTCAAGATTTATACTTGGGGAGCTGATGCTGAGGTGAATAAACTCCACAGTCTCCTCAACCATGATTAGAATATTTCCTCTGTTGACTTCCGCTACCGGACCATTGGTGGGAAGAGATGTAGATGGTTGGAAAATGACATAGGCTGTAACGAGATGGTTGAGTGGGGTCCAGGTCTTAGGCAATATGACAAACTGAACGACATGAGCTACCTTACTTTTCTCCAGCACGTTATAAGCTTTCGTTTTTGTTTCCTGGGCGGATGCTAGTTTATATGGTGTTGGAGAATATGTTGGAGTCGGAATTATGACTGCATATTCGTATTGTGAAGGAAAGCCAACATGTTCGAGCCACGCCGTACCGTACTTCCCGAATGTAGCAGTTTTCCCGTCCTCTGTTTTGGATATTTGATTTTTAATGTGCACCTTTAACATATCCTTACTGGCATCTGGTATGTAGTAAAAATTCCCTTTTGTGTCAGTAAGCGTCGAAAATTTTTGTCCTTGTTTCGACGGTGTTGATTTCGAAATAGACGTCGAGAGTCTTTTTACTACCCCATTAATCTTTATGGAAAGTGATTCTGTCAGCTTGTCTTGAAAAAGCGTTGTCTGAACGATTTTACCTCCAGTGTTTTTTGCTACTATGTCGCTTCCTAAACAAACTAGCCAATTTTCAAAAAAGAAAACCGATTTTTTGAACTCGAAATCCATCTTTTTTCGCCAATCGCTCAGACTATAGTTTGGCTGTTCAAAATCCATGCCAAAAATACCATTTTCCAAGATACTGGTACCTTTAAACGTGAGACCTCCTACCAAATCCTTTGGGTTGTAAAACCTTCCTTTTTTCAATTTCAAAGCATTAAGGTCCAATGCGAGTGTCGTTGCTCCAGGGACTTTGGTCCAATCCCAACCATTTTCGACGTCATGAACTTTAAGGCTTGTTTCACTGTTGGCAATCAGCAAAGCACCATGACTGGCAAACATGCCAAAAACGTTTTCATTCTTTTTGTTCTCAAAATCCCAGAGAAAACGATTAAATCCCTTGACTGTAACAGCCCAGTTTTTGCGTCGATGGATGGACAGAGCGGCAAAATTCTTGGACCAGTGACCTTCAGGGGAGGACTCGGGATAAATTCCTCTCAATTTAGCATTATCTTTAACCTTAATATAAAGAAAATTATTATGCATTAAAAATATTTGTCCTTTTTTGATTGGCTAAAATCCCACGCATAATTCATCATGACCAGTTATTGTCGACCAAATTTAGAAGAATTTTGCGATATGTGAACTGATTACGCCAATCGTGAGGCAAATTTGCCAGATTATTCAACGGTTAACCGAGAAGACCTGGGAACGAGGTTGAGTTGTTTTGGTAGAGGATACCAAATGGCGGAACATTTCACTCGTTTCACGAGTAGGCGAACTATTGGCTAAAAATATAGCAAGAACAGGAAGAAGACAACTCGACAGACGACATCTGCTATCTGAAGAGTATTTGCAGAACTGAAAAACCCTTTATCTCCTAAACTTGCCGATAAATATGCACTATCGAAGATGAACTTAACATCGATGAAGGTAAGCATGTTTTAGCTTGTTTTTTAACTAGGAATTATTTTGAATGAATTATAAAACAATTATTGAATTCGGCTTTCCTATCACGGAGGGTGTTATCCGGCCTCGGCGGATAACACCCTCCTCGTTCTTCATAATTCTTCAGATGATACGAAAGCCGAGTTTAATAATGGCTAATTATTATTCATTCAAAATATTTCTCCATTTCTGATTTGCTAAATGCACACGCATAATTCACCACAACCAGCTACTGTTGACCAAATTTGGAAGAATTTTGCGATTAATCAACCGATGGCGTCAAAAAGGCGGCACAGTTGCAGGTTATTGCACCGTTAACCGTGAAGACCCGAGGAAGAGGTTGAGTTGTTTTGGCTGTGAAAGAAAAAGGGCCGAACAGTCGGCGGAACATTTTACTCGTTTCACGACGAAATATTGTCTAAAAACATAGCAAGAAGACAACTGGACGGACATCTGCTATTTTGGAGTATATTTGCAGACCTGAACAGCACTTTATCTTCTAAACATGCACTATCGAGGTGAACTTAACATTGACGAAGGTAAGCATGTTTTGGCTTGTTTTTAAACTAGGAATTGTTTTGAATGAATAATAAAGCAATTAATGAATTCGGCTTTCATACGAGGTAAATATTCCTAAAGTCACTATTCACTGAGATTGAAAAGAATAATTGTTTTAGTATATACACACAAAGAGATCTCAACAAAATCAGAGAGGAAACCATTAAAAGGTACGATTTGATTGACGGATCAAATACGCAAAAGTTTAAAATAGATCTTTTCTTTTCAAGTATATTGCTTGCTTCTTCCAAATTTGGTCAACGTCAGTTCGTTATGGAAAATTAGTAAAATCCAACTAGTGGTCTATTATAAATGCTGCGTTCTGATTGGTTGAGCTACTACCAGGCTATATGTTATAGCCCAAGCGGCAAAAAAGGATTTAAAAGTCTATTTTTAACCAGCTAAAGTTGTTTTGTCTCGATATTTTTGAACAACCAGTTGGATTTTACTACTGCAATTATTCCTCTCGCCAGTCAATAGCCCATTGACTCAGAGCCCATTTGGGCTCGAGGAATAATTGTTAATTAGCCGGAGGTTTCAAGCCCATCAGAAACGGCGAAATCTTTTGAATTAATGATAACAATAGTTATCGAATCAGTTTCAGAAACTAAGGCAGCTGAACTTACCGCTTCCATGATGTCCAGAGAGCCCAAACTGTTGTAATAGTACTTCACTTTGTAACCTCCATCTTCCAGATAACTGTTGACGGTTGTGTCGTTATATAACCTTAAAAACATTTCCGGTTTATTCGTGCTAACTGCACTGCTAGCAGCTATTTCTGATTGCTCAGTGCACGGATGGGAAACACTGATGTAAGCAAAGGCAGGTAGTAGAATTAAAATCTTTTTGTTAGAATAGCTTGGCATACGTCCGTTAACACTGTTTGGTGTGGAATACTTCACCGCAATTATACGCATCGTTTCAAGTCCCCGTCTGATATTGTTTTCTGATGAAGCCGATAAAGCGAATTCAGTTCCCCCAAGAAGGTAGTAAACCAAGGCAGCAGTGTGTAACGCCTGAGGCACGTAAGCGGGTCCATAGAAGGCTTTATGGTGATATCCGACAAAGTCAGGTTTGATGACTCCTCCGAGACCTTCGTTCACAGCCAGAGCGTTGTTCATCCACCGAACTAGGGCTTCCATGTCTCGAATTTTGGCTTTGATTTCATAATCAGTGCTACTTGGCATTACCAGGACAGTCATCAATCTAAACAACATCAGCGTGATCATTCGGTCAGCAGTCGTTCCTTTGATTTCAAACGAGGGCGATTGATAAATCTCTCCAAACTCATTGAACCATTTGGCTGTCTTTATCAAGTCCAACAATTTGGATTTGTTTTTAAGATAGCCCTTAATAAGGAACAGACTATGCATAAATCCAGCTCCGTTTCGATTCCACTCGTGGTCCAATGATCCAAGGCCACTGCCGTCTGCAAATCCTTGTTGCTTTATATAATCTAGAATGTTGTTGATCTTGTTTAGACGATGAAGGTTGAGTTTAATTATTGCCTTTTTCAGTAGGTCAGGGGTAAGACGCCCTGAAGGGGGAAAGTAGCTTTTTAATTGATTTATCATGTTTTTGTTGTCACCTGCTATGGCTTTTAAGGCATTGCCCTTGGCGTCAGAGTTGAGGTCACCCAGAAACGCAGCGACAGTATCTTTTATTTCTTTGCTTCGAGATCTTATGTAAAATTCAAGTGATAAGGGTAAGAGGATTTTTTCTAAAATGGTACCAAACTTTTCAGAACCTCTGCAGTCTCGGCAGAAGAGAGGTGGACCTATGACTTTACCACTGATCGAATCCAGGTCTAGAGCACCGTACTCTTCATGCGCCTTTTTGATAATCCTTGAGAGGGAATTCCAACGCCTCCTGAGAAAGCTGCCACTTGGAAAGTGGGGAGAAGTTTTGTTTTCTGAGCAGTACCAGTTAATCAGACGGCTTTCGATCAATTCTAGGCTAATTTTTTTGGACTTGTCGACTGTCGAAGGTAATGGAGGAATGGCTTGTTGACTCCACTTATAAGTCTGCTGCCAGGTGTTTCCTATGCCATAGATTTCCAATCCAAATGGACTGATAGGAGGAACAACTTTGTCGCGGGACTGGCCACCAATACTTTTCAGAAATTGAAGAAAATCTATGTAAATTGTGTCCGCCCCGTTAAGGACAAAGTTGACCTCATTAATTACAGTCGGTTTTTTCAGGCTGGCACTATCAATTTTGCATTCATCGAATTTGACCCACACTCCTCTCCACCCTTCAAAGTCAAGATTAGCTTGAAATCTGGCAACAGGTTTTCTGGAATTTTTAAATTCTACAGTTAATGTTTTCCCTGGTGATGGCCTTTCTTTGTAAAACCAAACTTTTACTCCGCCTCGTCTCAACCAATCATTTGGAATTTCGGACCCTGGTCGAGTTTGAAGTTTCAATTCCAGTTTCAGGCTAGAGGCACTAAACGCCACCCACTTCAACGAATGTGAACCATGCTTGACAACAACCATTTTGTTGGATCTTGTTACGGTACCGGACTTTGGTGGAGTAGGCTTGAAACAATTTTCTTCGCCTTTAACCTCGAAATCAAATTTCTTGTCATTATTGTAGACACAAGCCGGAGAAACTAACGGAAGAAAAGGTAAACTCATGTAAATGACTTGTTTTTCTTCACATGCTTCATTGTACAAACCAAAATCAAATTATAGCATGGAAAACAATGGCGCTGAAATTATATGTTGGAGCAATATGCAACCGTAACGATGGTATATTGCTCCCAATTAATCGGGTCTTTCTAATTTGATCAGCGTCAGCTGGTTTTTACGAATTAGCCAGAGGATTAAAGACTATCAGAAATGAAGAAATATTTTGAATGAATAACAGTTGTAGGTTTTAGTTTTTACACAAGGTCCCGAAATGTGACTTTGTGAACAAGCGTGCATTTTCAATTACAATCACAAGCTTTATACCAGGTCTCGAGAGGTTAACAAAATTAATGAAGGTACCAGGTATGCCGGAAGACTTATTCCTGGAAAGAAGCCTTATTGATTTAAGTGATATGACAAAATTGAAATTTGAGAAGATGGCAATGACGACAGTACTTTATTTAAGTTCTGTGTTTGATAGATAGAGCTTTGCTTTCTTCCTGGAAACTTACCTTGACTCTACATTTGCCTGGCGAGTCAAACAAGACGTTTAATACCTACCCTGTGCTTGAGCCTGCCATAAGGGAACCATGAACCAAACGTGGTACAGAAGTGAAACAACGAGAAACGTTAACATGTTTCTCAAACCTTCACCTGCGTTCAACATAAAGTTAGTGAATATTATCTTGAAGTCTAGGATGACTAAATATTCAATGCTCAACTTTTTTGTGACTTGATTTAATCCCAGTTGGCAATGCGTAGATTTGTTTGAAACAAATCAGTGATAGAACATTAATGTACGAGAGGCAAGAAATGGACAGTTCCTGAGCGTGCGTGATATCGGAAATTTGAAGAAAAATAAAAGTTAAAAATACAGGTATAGTTAACCTGGGATCATTTTTTCTTCAAGGGAGCGCGCGCGTTCGAAGGTCGACGCCAAAGAAAGTGGAAAAAATGACCGTCTGGTCATTATATTGTGGATATTTCACACGAGGGGATAAGGGATATCATGGTTAGTATGGTTATTATACACTTGACGAGTATCAATAAGAAATACAGTTACAGTTTTCTTCAGATTTTTAAGCAAACTGGAAAAGGCCTTGCCACTGGTTTATCTCATTAACTACGACTGTCTGAAAGTACTAAAAAGCTTCCATTCGCTTCACACTGATTATAAATTTTCTATCATAATTTTAAACATCCCATTCTGAAACAGAGGCAAACAACGTTCAGATCAATCACATCGTTTCAGGAAGCTAGCCTAGTATAAGAAAGGCTGTCGAACTTATGTTCATCACAAAAGGTAGAAATTAAACTCAACTTACCCAAAGCAGTTTCTAGTTTGCTCTGCAGTGCTGCTGGAGACTGAAGGTGAAGCTGATACGATCTGTTGACGTTTTTAAAGATGCAACCTTACTAGCTTAGTCTGATCTCATATTTATTACAGACAAGTTCCTTCCACGGTTCCAAAATCAACACGCCTCCATTGACAGGTACATTGCTTTCATTAGAGCACTAATATCATTTCACTTAAAGGCGACATGTAGCTTGAATAGACACCTTGTGGCAAATATGGTTCCTTTTTAAAATGATATACTTCCTTTTAAAATAGTTACGTCGTGTTAAATCATGTGGTAGCTCAATGCTGTTGTTTCCCATCTCTTGGATAAGTGATCAACTTGGAACAAGAAGAGAATATCTGGTGGCTTCCTGTTGTTGTTCTGGCATAATCCAGGACCCCTTTATCTATTTGTAACTTTGTAGGTTTTAACAGATGTCTGCTCCTTTCTGAAAGACATGGTAACCACGACTCTATAATGAATAGCTCCAATATCTCTCACGGTGACTGAGTAAAACTCTTTCTAACCCTAACCCTTACAGTAGGCATTAATGGGTCTGCATGTCCACTTGGTATGACAAAACCATTTTATAGCCATTAGTTTTGAGGACAATCGCAATTCAGTCCAAAGAGGAGTTTGTCTTTTAAACTGGGTTTTTATTCCATTTTTTTTCTTTCTTCCAAGTTGATCTCTTAATTATTTGACAGTCAACAGAGTATAAAAGAATACTATTTTAAATGCGTTCTGTAAAACCCTTGTTAGGTCAACCAACCGCCAGTTGGTATTCCTGTTTTCCGGAACCATGTTACCAGGCTACCTACTTTCGTAGCACTGTTGCTAAGCATTCAAAACTATCGTGGTGTCAGTAGCTTTTAAATTGCCTGCCTTTACTTACAAGCTAACGCTATGAATTTTTATTCGTTGCTTTCCCTTTTGGTATCCGATCCATACAAGGACGTATTCCTGAAGCCCTATTTCTGGAGTAAGGTATATTATCTGTATTTTAATCCATTGTAAAGCCAAAAATCTTAGGAAACCTTGCTATTGGAAGATTTTACGAAGAGGCTTAGTTTCAAGAACTAAAACTACACTGCCCTACGATAAGAAAATTCAATTTTGGGTTAGAATTTGAGTAAGTTATTTTTAGAGCTAATCGGTTTTCAAGGAACTGAGCAGAACGAAATCGCCGCGAAACCTGCTTGAGGCCATAACAATTTTAAATTGCAGCCGGAGGGGTTGCAACTATATCCATCAAAATAAACTAAGGGGCTATGCCCGGGTATAGTCTTTTTTGTCTTTACTAGATTTAGTGGGTTCGGAAATAAACAATGTTTGACAAACGTATGTATTTTTTCGGAGCCTCATACATTTGCCCTTTCCAAATTAACATCAGTAGAAACTCAGACGTATCTATAATTGATCTAGAATTATCTTGTGCAACCACCTAGTTACTACCTGATGTCCCCCTCCGGCTGGTTACAATCTTGTATAGGATACCAGTGTTCTTCTATGATGACCTCCACCACGTTTTCAATCTCAAATATCAAAACCAAAGACAATGTGCAAAAAGAAATGTTAGTTTCGCGAAGCTTTAGAATAATAGGTACCGAAACTTTTCAATAAACACATGGCAGTGTATTGGCTTGGTAAAACAATAAAAGGTGATAATGCCCTTTATTATCGTTTTTCCCCTTACTTGACGGGATTGTGTACCCGACTCTCTCCTAACTGGGGCTTTTAATTTTCTAAAATTAAGAAGGTTTTTGGCTGAAACAGTTTAAAAAAACCGTGCTTTCGACCATCTAAAAACCACGGCAAGGAGTAGACCGCTCGATTTTAAAAACGTTGAAAATAAGAACTAAATTTTTTTTGGCATAAATCCGTTTCTTCAATCGATATTCATAGTCAATGACTACAATTGCACATGCGTCCCTAGTTTTGCAGGGAATAACTGCTACAATAATTCAATGACACAGTGCTTGCTTTCAAGTTTATGACGGGCTCCGCTCCCACTTACCATCGAAGTTCTAACACGTGGTGAAGTAAGTAGTCGCACGACTAGAATTTCTCAACTTTTGCAAATTCCCTTATTCTGGACAAAGGACATTCTGTAACGTAAGTCTGTGGAACAGTTTGGGCAATTCCTTTAAACTCTGCAACTCTGTTCTTAATTTTAAGCATAAACTTAGTGCCAAGTTACTCTCCGCTTTCCTTTCCTGTCAGTCTTAGCTACTTTTTTCGTTATAAGTTTTTATCTTGTAATTTTAGCGAACATTTTTTAGCTTTCTTATTCTTTTATATAAAAACATTGTATCATTGTAATTTTTAGACTTACTATCGTGTTGTCGTATTAGCTTAACTGTAATTATTGTATTCATTTGTCGCTGAAAAGCCCTCTTTAGTGAGTATCATGAAAGTTTGTATCGTATAATAGTGAGTTTAATGACATCAAATCTCACTCCTGTCCTCCGTCTAGTAGTTTTTTTCTAACTATTTATTTGTGTTCTTCTCATGGCGTATAAATCTATTTTAAGCAGCCTTGACCAAAGGCTCACTCTCAAGCCGGGGGTATCTCGATGTGCTATTGCGCGTGCGTGTCGATTCTCTTTGGTGGTAAAATTCATTTGAAAAAGATTAATGTACTTAATCCCTCAAGCTTTGAGCCACAAAACCTCCATAGCCACCGCCTCCAGTCCGTCAGGTGCTAGCCGAAGGAAGCCACTGCTGTAATCCTTTCCTCAAGTACTCGAATTGTTGAGGACGCATCCTTTCCTAAGCTATATCCTACCCACTCTGCTACTCAACGAAAATCGTTTCTTTAGATCCGTGAGACGCTCGCAGATGACATTACCGCTTGCATTGAGAGCTTATAAGTTGAACTGAGACAGGATATATTTCCTTGTTTATGCCCCGTTAGGGAATTAAAAATTCAACTACATTTACCAGAAAATACACGAAGCGAATATCCTACGATAATTTGAACATTTTGTTTTCATTGAGTATAATCTTTGCTTTTAAGAATCAAATGCTTTCCAGCGCAGGGGGAAAAGCACAAAGCCTACCAAGGACCACATATGATTACTTCAACGCTTTAATTAATTGGGGTCGAGATAATGATTTCACACATGCATAATACCAGGTCTCGCTCGATGGTACCGTCTCCAACCGTTTTAGTGTGGTCAGGTGAAAAATATGCAAAAAAGCCAGTGTGAACGAAAATACTTTGCTTTGCTTTCTTCGAGATTTAAAAGGGGGACTTTTGAAAACGCATTATGTTTGGTATGTTTGAACTCCAGGTACCAGTCGTTCAAAAGTTGGATGACTGTATTTACGATTTCGTTTGTTGTGATTTCCCAAAAGCGCAAGATGTTTAATCTCATACAGTATAAGAGTCTGGAATGGAGTTACATGACCAACGACAAACGGGGGCAAATACAACTGACTACTGAAAAAAAGGGATTACCAGTAGGAAAATATCACCGTCGACTAATTAACTTGCATTTTTCACCTGAGATTTACCAATAACCTACAATGGCGGGAATTTTTAACTGACAACGGACAACGAAATTTGGATTCCCCAAACCCTCCAGTAGACAAAAAAAATATACCAAAAAAATATACATGGAATTTGAGTTCGGCAATGGCTTTAATAAACATCATAGTAAATACTTGTTGAGTAAAATTTAAAAACCTTGAAATTGATTCTAATATTAGTAG